CTTTTCTCTTCTTTTCTTTTTTCTTTTCTTTTCTTTTCTTGAGAGAGAGAGAGAGCGCACATGAGCAGGGAGGAAGGGCACAGAGGATCCGAAGTAGGCTCTGCCCTGATAGCAGCAAGCCCTGTGCAGGGCTCGAACTCACAAACCATAAGATTGTGACCTGTGCTAAAGTCGGACTGAGCCACCCAGGCACCCCTGGAGATCATTCTATATCAGTACATGTATACATATTATGGTTGTAGAGTTTTCTTCATTTATTCAACCAACATTAAGTATCCATTATGTGCTAGTAGTATTATAGATACTAGGTCTGTAATATTCAACAAACCAGATAAAAATCCCTGACCTCATGGAACATATTTAGTGTTCTAGTATTCCATTGTTTGATGTATCATTATTTAACCAATTTCATATTGATGAACATTTAGGTTGTTTCTAATCTTTTACTGTTTTAAATAATGCTGCAGTGATTAAATTTGTATAAATGCCATTTCACATGTGAAAGTTTTTTCTGTAAGATCAATTCTCACAAATGAAATTGCTGGGTCAAAGTGTAAATACAAGGGAATTTGTCAGCTCAGTCACTCACAGAAGATGGCCACTCTAGAGTCTTTTGCATAGCAAATGTTTTATAATTTTTATGAAGTCCACTATATCATTTTTTTCTATTTAGAATGTGCTTTTAACATCAAATCTGTGTAGCTCTGTATTGTGAATATTTTCTCCTCTTTTTTTCCCTAAGAGTTTTGTAGTTTACTCTTTTGCATTTACTTCTGTATATTAGTTTCCTAGGGCTGCTGTAACACATTCCACAACCTTGGTGGCTTATAATAACATTTATTTTCACGTAGTTTTGGAGGCTAGAAGTCTGAAACCAATTTCTGTGGACCACAGTCAAGGTGCTGGCTAAGGCCTGAGGCCCTTCAGAGACACTGCTCCAGTCTCTGCTCATCTGAACTCTGTATGTATGTCTGTGCCAGATCTCTCTTTGCCTCTCTTACAGAGATGCTTGTAATGGCATTTAGGACCCACCTGGATAAGCCCAGCTAATTTCCCCATCCCCAAATCCTTAACTTTAATCAGGTCTGTTGTAATATAAGGTAATATTCACTTGGTCTGGGCATTAGAAAGTGAATATATCTTTAAAAGTTTCTTTTTTCTTAATGTTTTATTTATTTTTAAGAGAGAAACAGAGAGACAGATTGTGAGTGGGTGAGGGGCAGAGAAGGAGACACAGAATCCGAAGCAGGCTCCAGGCCTGTCAGCACAGAGCCTCTGAGCTATCAGCACAGAGCCTAACACGGGGTCAAACCCACGAGCTGTGAGATCATGACCTGAGCCGAAGTTGGACGTTTAGCCGACTGAGCCACCCAGGCACCCCTAAAGTGAATATATCTTTATATGGCAATTTCCCAGTTTACTACAATCCAGGATCTGTTTTAATTTTTGTATAAGGTGGCAGACTTAGATTGGGGTTCATTTCTGTGCCTATGGATGTCCAGTTGCTCTAACATCATTCACTTGTTGCACCTTTGTTAAAACACTTTTGCTTTTTTTTTTTTTTAATTTTAAATAAACTCTATGCCACCCACACACACATGGGCCTTGTACTCACAACCCCGAGATCAAGAGACACATGCTCTGCCTACTGAGCCAGCCAGGAGCCCCAGTCATTTTTGCTTTTTAAGATCTATTTTTGCCAGTCTTTAAGAAGTTTCAGTATTTATTTAATAAAACTCTGTTTTGCCTTTATTACTTTATAATGTGTATTTCTACTAAAAATCTTTATTTATGTCTATATTTTGAATAAAGTTCTAACTTAATTTTAAACCTGATTACTTTGTTTAGTTTTTTATATGAATATTTTTCACTGTTTTTGACACTATCAGTAATCTTTAATAATGTTCTTACTATTTGGAGAGTTTATATTGTACAGTTGTTATGTGTTGTAATTTTGGAGGTTAATTGAAGATTTTCTAACCAAACATTTTGTCATCCAAAGTGATTTTTATTTCTTGCTTTTCTGTATTTTATGCCTTTAAATCTTGTATTTGTAGCCATGTCCATATTTTTGAAAGTAGTAATTACTGTATTTGTTTCTACTTTTTAGTAAAACTTCATTCAGCATTGAAACATGTTTTATACTTTATAAAAATAGAATCATGCAGTTGTACTCTCTTGCATCTGGCTTCTTGAGCTGAACATTATGTTCATCCATATTCATTCTTATTACAGTATCCTATAGTTTTAATTTTCCGAATATGCTATAATTTGTTTATTCATTCTTCTGTTGATGGACATTTGTGTAATTTTCAGCTTTTGGTTATTACCAGTAGTGTGGCTATGAACTTTCTAGGAAATTTCTTCAGATCATATTTGCAGCTCTGTTGGGGATAAACTTTGGAATGGAATTACTAGTGGGTACCGTCAGTTTTCCAAATGGTTGTATCCTATCAGTTTACACTCTTACAGATTGAATGGGAGTTTAGGTTGGCTCACATCTTCCCCAACACTTGGTATCTTTCATCTTCTCCTAAAATTTTAGTTATTCTGTTATGTATGTAATGTTATCACATTTTTATTATTTTAGTTATTTAGTTAATAAGTGGGCTTTGAAATTTTACTTTATTTTATCCCCTCCCTCTAAATATAGCATTTTTGCATCTTGGTTAAGATCTAATGTTCTGTGTTTGTATTTTATTTATAATTGTTAAATTAGCATATTGACTAATTTACCTTTAATTGTTAACTGTTCTACTTGATTTCTTTCATTCAAGCATCATCATTCAATGATGATACATGATTATCTCTTGTAATGAATTTTGCTGGTATGAACTTTGACAGTTTTCAATTGTTTATTTAGAAAGTTAGCTTAATAGTTTGGTGACAGTTTTGCTTTCATCTTTTTATTATTTCTCTTTGGTAGCTTATTAGACTTGGCTTCTCTAATATTACTTATCAGTCTCTTCTTTTTCTCTCTTTTTCTCTGAACACTCCTTTAAATGTTTATATTTCTCTAGATTGTTTCTTTAGTGCTCTTTTGCACTTTATCTGCTCTCCATATTTTTCTCCCTAATTTCCAGATCCTTATTTCCAGGTCTTTACTGGATATCATGCATTGAGATATTTGTAGGCACTTTGTACCTTTCCTCTGTCAAACCAACTCTTACAATATTTTTTAACTTGGTTAATATAGTCACCTTTTACTCAAGTCTTCTGGTTATAAATGCTTATTTTTCTCATTCTCCCACAAGTTATTCTCAAAAAATTCTGTTGATTTTATTTGTTAACATAGGAAGCTCCCTGATAACTGTGTCTCTAAAATAGAAATCCCATTTCACCTATTCCTGCCTTAGTGCAGACCTTATCATGGTCTAGACTGTGGCTCCAGTTAGTCTTGTTTTTTTGTTTTGTTTTGTTTTTTGTTTTTTTAGTCTTGCTTTTTTGGTTTGTTTCTGATTCATCCTCCCTTCTTTTTTTTCTCTTTTATGGTCCCTTTGATTAAAGAGTGCAAACACTGAAACAAAGAATTTAAGTTAAAAGTTTATTAAAAATTTACAAAATATATAGACCATTAAATTTTAGTTTTTAAACAATTGAACTTACAAATGATGGTTTTGTAACTTTGTAGTTTTTATACTTTCTGAAACTACTAAAGCTTGAAACAGCACTCAGGCTTTTGGGATGCCCTTTCTTTAAAAATGATTTTGATAAGTATTGACAAATTGTTACCCAGAAATGTAGAGCACTCATTTCCTTTTATCTTCTAACACTGGTTGTTATTTCTAAAACTAGTTTTTAGTTTGACGGCTGAAAGATGGTATCTTGGTCGTGTTTACTTTGCATTTTTTGACTCCAGGTTATAATGAATATTTTTAATAATTTATGGTCTTAATTGGTAATCATATCAAATGCTATGTTAGTGATATTAGCTACTATTTATGGAGTACTTTCATAACTGTCAAAAATACTGTGATAAGCATTTTATTGTATTATCTGTTTTAATCCTCTGAATAACTGTATCAACTGTAGATACTTTTCATTTTGTGGGTGAGGGAACAGATTGTGGGGGAGAAAAGTGACTTGTTCAATGCTGCATAGTTAGGAAACTTATTTCCTATGATCTGTTACACTAGTCGCTCTCAACTTTAGTTAGATGAGGAAGATTGAATATTTGTACTTATAGGGGATTGGATTAAATGTATATGGACTTTGGACCCCATATATGATGGCTATGATTTATCTAGTTTTTTTAAAAGCAAAATGATCAAGTTGGGTATTTGGCTAGGTTAGGAGAGAAGAAATAAAAATTTTAGTGAGTTTGGTTCTAATTAGAATGTTGAGAGATGGTTAGAGCAGGATGGGTCCTTAAATATTTCTCAAACTATGTTTCATTGCTCACTACTGTGGGAAGTTTTCCTATTTCCTGACAATACAAGTTTGGGTAATACGTTTTCCCAAGCAGAGAAACTTTAACTTTGTTTATCCTAGAATTTCCCAAATTTGTGCACTGTTTTCTGGTAGACCTATTCATATTCATGTCTTATGGAATATCTTGAAATACATCAACTTGAGATAAAAGTTGATGTAGTCTATTCTTTCATTTTATTAGGGGAGGAAATGGAAATCCATTGTGGCCAAACATGTTGCTTGAGATCACACTGCTAGTGAATGACACAGTTAGGATAAGCCAGTCATTCCTTTGTACCATGCTTCCTTTAATAATTAATATAATGTTAATACTTATTTTTCATATATTATGTTAAAAAGTTTAAAGCATAATTGAGTGTAGTTTCTTTTATATTTCCATCTAGTTCAGTTGTTAGCCTTATACTCTGAGAAATACATGTACGGTTTTTAAAATTCTGCCATTTATGTACATATGAATAACCTAACTCATTTAGCATGAATATATATCCATAACCACTTGCTTGTGTTTAATCATAGAAATGGAAAGAGTCTTTTTTCTGTAGTTAACATGTCACAAACGTTTGGTTTAGTTTCTGTAGAAAATGTTTCCTGACTGCAATGAGAGAAAGCGGAATACATTGTCCCCTCTGTCGTGGAAATGTGACTAGAAGAGAGAGAGCATGTCCTGAACGGGCCTTAGACCTTGAAAATATCATGAGGAAGTTTTCTGGTAGCTGCAGATGCTGTGCAAAACAGGTAGAGTAACTGTGACATAGCTCTTTGAAAATGAAGTTTCTACTCTACTTTGAAAATGAAATTCTTGTTTGAGTTTTCTTGGTAGGTGCTGGTTTGAAGAGAAAGAAGTTACTTAAATTAGGTAGAAAGGTGAAAAAAACCACCTGATTATAGATTTTACTAGATTATAAATGCATTGAGAACAGAGACTGAGAGATACAATCTGTGAATTTGTCATTAATTTTTAGCATGGCATCTTTCTCAAAGTAATTGCTTATTGATTACCTACTAAGTAAACTAAATGAACAAACTGGCATTTAACTCATTTAAACCCCATTCTGGCACAAATTGTGATGGTAGCATCGTTATTGCAATTTTGTACATAGAAATGGGCCAAATAGAGGAAGTCTCTGGTTGCCCACTTTACTTGTGTATTTATGTGTGTAAGAAATTACAAAATATTTTGCAAAGACTAATTAATTTTTAAGGAACAGGTGAGAACATCAGGTGTTGGCAAATAACTGGCATTAATTCCCCAGTCTGGATTTTATTCTATCACTTGGAGAGGGAGTGAAATAGGGGTGGTTAGGCTTTGAGTATATCCATGTGTCTATGGATTTATTGCAGCCACTTTTTCAAACAGCTAATAAAGTCAGTGAGCAAAACCAGTTGCTATTTCATGCATTCACACAAGTCAGATCTGCTTTTCCATCTCTTTGAGGGAGGTGTTAACTGACAGGGCAATGAAGCGAAGCTGGAAAATACACTTGAGAGATTCTGGCTCTACTCCTCAGTGAGAAACTGAAAAATGTTCCAAGTGTTAACCTGGGAACCTAATTTTTTTTTAAAGCACTTTCTAACTCTGCCAAGTTGCAGTGAAGAATAAAGATATGCCCAATACTTTCAGGCAGTGTATTACTGCTTTTAATGTATTTTTTTTGTCTATTATTAGTAGTAGAGTTTCAAATATAAATTTATTTGCTAACATTTTTTGCAGTAAGTTCACATCTGCATCTAACAAACTTATTACTTATTTTCAGCTTCTACTTAAGAATTAAATCATTTACTAAAAAAATCTTGTTTAAATGGAATACTAAGTTGGTAATGTTATATTTTGGTTTTTGGCTATTGATAATATCTCAAATTTATGACTTCATTTAAAATTAAAAGTCACATTACATTTTGATCAATAATTTACAGATTAAATTCTATCGCATGAGACATCATTACAAATCTTGTAAGAAGTATCAAGATGAATATGGTGTTTCCTCTATCATTCCAAACTTTCAGATCTCTCAAGATTCAGTAGGGAACAGGTAAGCAATATTTATTCTTAAAAAGAGAATTTTTATAGTTAAAATGGGATTGTTTGGGGTAACTGTGTGATAAGGTGTTTTTTGTTTTGGGGGGTGTGTGTGTTTAAATTCCCAAGTAACAGAAATATATTTGCCTTCAAGCTTGTTTAACTTCTCTAAGATTGCATGGGGAGAGTGACTTCATGTCTAAGATTGCATCGGGGAGAGTGACTTCATGGTATACTTAAGCTTATGTTATTCAAAAATAATTCTTAAAAAAAAAATCTACATTTCTTTGAATAAAAAACAAACATGAGGGTTGAAGGCTGTTTTCTTTTGCAATTGAAATTACTTGAAAACTAAAAATCCCTTTCAACTAAAATCTTTTTTATTTGCTATTGAGCAATAGAGTTGTTTGAAATTTTAATTTTCATAGTAAAATGTCATATAAAAGTGAAACTTGGTACTATTAAATTCTTAGCCCTATTTTAGTTCCCCTCTTTTTTTAAAGTAGATTTTGTTTTTATTTATGTTTTATTGTCTCTGATGTGTGTATATTAAACATTTTTATGAAATGTATTTTACACAGAATAATGGCTGAAATGTACATGTGTGATTTTAATAGCATTAAGACAAATATCCAGTTACTCCTAACACAAATTAAAAAATAGAACATTCTTCAGGGTCTTAGAATCTTCTTGGGACCCCATGTCCTTTTGAACTGCATATTCCCCAACGTAACCACTCTCCTCTTTTTTAGGTTATTTATTCCCTTGCTTTTCTTTATAATATTACCACCTATGCATATATCCTTGTGTAAGGAAAGGCTCCCAGGAGACAATGTGTTAAGCAGTCTCTCTCAAGATTTTATTTGAGTAGCATTTCATTTCATGTGTTGCTAATTTTCAGTGATTAACTACTCTTAAGCACTCATACTGTATGTAGCCTTCTCTACTCCTTATTTGAAACTGTTCTAGTGTTTAGTAATTTTCTGATTGCCTAGTCGACAATTTTTTAAATTTTTTTTTTAAGTTTACTTATTTATTTTGAGAGAGAGCAAGTGGAGGAGGGGCAGAGAAAGAGAGGGTGAGAGAGAATACCGAGCAGACTCCACACCTCCCCACTGTCAGTGCAGACAGAGCCTGACATGGGACTCAGTCCCATGAACTGTGAGATCATGACCTGAGCCCAAATCGGGAGTCAGATGCTTAAATGACTAAGCCACCCAGACGGCACCCCCCCCCACCCGTTTTTTAAGTAGGCTCCGTGCCCAATGTGGGCCTTGAACTCTTGACCCTGAGATCAAGAGTCACATGCTCAAAGCTCCACTGACTGAGCCAGCCAGGTGCCCTTGCAAGATTCTTTTTAGATTCTCATTTTACTTGACTTAGTGTCATTAGATGAAATGGGTCACTCCTATTTTACAATTTTTTTAAAAAATCCCAGGTTCCTTCATCCCTGTGCTTTCTTTGTTATTGTACCTCTGCTATATTGAAATTACTCAACAATTTGTTATTAACCTAATAGATTATTCTTAAGTGTGAGGTGGTTTGTCTTGTTTAACATTGTCTCTCCAGTGCTTAGCAAAGTTCCTAGTATGTATGATTTTTGCAGTCACTGCTTGTTAAAGAACCAAAGTTTCTTCTCAGGAGTCTTGCCTTCTGTCTTACTTCTCAGATCCAGTTTGATTCCTGATAGCAGTGTTCCTCTTCTGTGCCTTTCTTCTAAAAGTAGTGTCACTTCCCTAGCTCAAGCCCTCATCATCTCTCACTTGAACTATTGCAACAGTCTTTTTGTGGGTGGTCCTACTCGAATGTGTTTTACATTGCCAAATTGTTATTTCAGAAGTGCAATTCTGATCTCTTTCTCCCTGTCCTTAAACCTGCCTCCTTGTACCTTGTCAGTAACTTAGCCATGCATGACCTGATAGCATTGTTTCTCATCCTGGGTTCCAAGGGCCACCAAGGACTCTGTGAACTACCTCAACTACCAAATGTTTTGTGTATGTGCATTGTTCTGGAGAAAGGATGTTGAGATTCTTAAGAAGTTCCATGATCTAAAATCCAACAACTGGTTTATAAGACAGAATTCTTTATTCTAAAGCCCTTTTTGATCTGGCACTTGCCTTGCCCCTTTTGGCCTTTCTCTTTCTTGGTTACCCATCATTGCATCATATGCCTTAGCTATGTTGAATTATTTGTACCATATCCTTGTCATCCTTGAGAAGCAGTATAAGTTAGTGATTTAAAAAAAAATGAACCCTTGGAGAGACTGCCTGGGTCCCAGGCTCTGTCACTTAGTAATTGTATGATTTTGGCAGGAAATTATACTTCAGTTTTCTCATCTGTTTTAAAAAAGTGGATGGTAATGATACTATTAGTACCTCGTTGGGTTGGAAGCCAATAAATAGGTCAATAAAGGCAAAGCATATTGAATAGTAGTACCTTGTTTGGTAAATGTTAGTTTTTAAATATCACCCTCATTATTCCCTCATCTACATAGTTTTACCAGTAGTAGTCCCTTTTCCCACCACTCCAACTCACACTTTGCCAGTCAATGGACTTTTTCTTCTCTTTGAAGATTTAGACCAAGTGTTAGATCTGTGGAATCTTTCTGACCTCTAGAATTTCTTCCTTTCTTTGTTCTCCAACTAGACCCTCTAACACTTTATTTATTTGTTTAGTCTGTCTTTTTAAAATCTAGAATGGGCTTCTTGGTATTATTCATTTTTATATCCTGTGCAAATTCTAATTGCAATGGAAAAATTGGGTTTGTGTATGGATTGTTAGTAAGGAAAGTGGTGATGGAAGGAAAAGAAGGTTTTTTTTTGTTTTGGGGGGTTTTTTGTTTGTTTTTAATGGCAGGGAATAGAAGATACGATGCCAGGATATAGTAAAGGTCTTGGGAGGAAAGAAACAGTATGTTCAAATTAGATAGTTTGAGGAGAATTTAGTAAAGGGACTGTTTTCAAAGAGTAGGGTGTTGGGTGAGCAGCTAAATCACAAGGAGTGGTGAGTGATATACTCTGGGTCAGGGGAGGGGAGGAAGTAAATACCAGAACTCGGAGACAGAAAGCTATAAAGCTATATGGAGAGGACAGTTAGTGAGGATGCAGCCAGCTGAGGCAGTTTTGCTGGGAAGGAGTCTGGGAAATAAGTGTCCTAGCTCTCCTGTTTTACCTTCCCAGTTGCCTGCTGGGCTGAACCCAACTGGGAAGCAGAGAGGGGAGCCTGTTGATGCAGGTTAGTCTCTCAGTACACAAAGCATGGTGCACAATGGAGAGAAGATCTGGAGGGGCAAAAGATACCCAGTATATAAGGATTTCAGTTAGTAGCCAAATATATTGTAATATCCTACACACTATATTTCTCAGCTTCCAAGTAGCTAGGACAAAGAAGAAAACATCCATTAAGTTATTGACATTATCAATGATATTGTAAACAAAGTAGTTTCTAATAAGAAACACAGCTATTTCTGATACTAAAAAAGTGATACTGAAATGATTTTGCCCATAGCATCCTCAAAAGAAGAAACTATGCAGTTAAATATCATCTTTCCTGTGGTAAATACAAAACACGTTACATAGGACTCTAATTTAAAGACCTTCATTGTAGCATATGATAATGCCTTATTGCAGTGTATTAAAACTTTCCTTCCAGGGGCTTTTCTCTGAATTTCTGATAGTCTGGCTTAATCTAGGGGTGGTGGTCTAATGGACAGGATCTATATATTCATGCAGTTCTCCATGAAGATTATTTGCTAGCTGCTAAGTTTTTAATAAACATCTCAGTTTGGAGAACTTAAGGTCTTACTCTCTGTCAAGTAACTGGAGAGAGGATACATTTTATATTGCTGATAAAGAGCAGAGCCATGTAATTAATAGCTGAGGATTTGGTGGCATTTAATGAAAATTCATTGCCTTTTTTTTTTTTTCAAGTTTATTTGAGAGAGAGAAAATGCACCTGTGGGAGAGAGCAGGGAGGGACACAGAAAGAGAGAGAGAATCCCAAGCAGGCTCTGAGCTCAGCACAGAGCTCAATGCAGGGCTCCATCTCACAAACCATGACATCATGACCTGAGCCAAAATCAAGAGTCGGATGCGTGGGGTGCCTGGGTGACTCACTTGGTTAAGCATCCTACTCTTGATTTTGGCTCAGGCCATGATCTCATGGTTTGTGAGTTTGAGCTCTACATCTGGCTCTGTGCTGATAGCTTGGCGCCTGCTTGGAATTCTCTCTCTCCCTCTCTCTCTCTGCCCTTCCCCCACGTGTGTGTGTGTGTGTGTGTGTGTGTGTGTGTATGCTCTCTCTCTCTCTCTCTCTCAAAATAAATAAGTAAACATTAAAAAAAAAAAAAGAGTCAGACATTTAACCGACTGGGCCAC